CTTATCTTAAGATAAGGCTGTATTTGTTTTATGTCATATATGTTAATCAAATCAGGTTCGTGAACTTTCAAACCTAACTTTTTATTGGAAGAGATTGAATTCGAATAATTAATTGAGCTTATCTTAAGATTAAGGCTGTATTGGTTTGCGGTGTAAAACGTCACTACCAGTTCAGTTTTGTAGAGTGTGGATGCAGTATAAAATGTCATCGGCAGATAAGTTTTGTGGACGTGGAAGTTTGGTTTGCATCGTAAATCGATGTAAAAACTACATTTATAAAAGCAATGTAGTATTACACATGGATAGTCACATTTTTCAATGTTCACTTTTCAAACGGTTTGACGTGAAACTCCATGGATAGGGTTTTACATTAATGAGATTTATATTCCAAACAAACACAGCCTAAAGCTCAAATCAAACTTAATCAAACTCGAACCTCACTTTATATTTGATTGAAACTCGATTGAATTGCAGCATATATATACTTTTACCTGCACATGAAAATATTATATTCAGGAATCGATAACAACTGCTGAATAAGAGACATGAAAATATTAATGGCAATATGGGTAGGGTAGGAATACCGAATACATAAACTCATACCACTAAAAGTAAAACTCATCAGCCCTCACGTAATAATATAAATTATGATGCGAAGCGTTTATTTTTTACTGATGGGTGTGGGGTGCCCGAACCCGAACGTACGAGAATCTCTTTGCCTTGCTTAAGCGTGTCGACCATGGCTGTGGTCCTTGGCCTGCTGTATCACTTGGTTCTGGACTGGCTTTCTGGAGAAGTAGAGGTGAACCCCTGGATCATGGCTGGCGAAGGAGCTATTGAAGAGAATGGAGTTATTGACACCCTGTACGTTACTATTGATGAAAGCAGATATGGGTAGGCTCTGTGCTGATGATTTCGGCACTGCTTTGTCCTTTCTCTTCATCTTCCCTTCCTCGTCGCTACTGCTGCGTTCCGACTGTGATTGATCGCCATGGCTTGTGGATCCAAGGCGGTGGGGATTCCTTATGTATAGGTCCTGCTCCTTCCTGTTGGAATAACCGAGTTCCATGACAGCACCCTTGTTCTCACCTGTAAGTGTTATCACCTTCATACCCACTTCCTCAGAACTCCTCTCCGTCTTCCTCTCCGTCTTCTTACGAGCATCCTTCTCTTTGTCCTTGCTATTTACGTCTTTCACGCCGTTGCCTCCTCCCTCCTTCCCGTTCTGGGCTGAGGTTGGCTTACCCTCTCCAGCATTGTTAATCCCCGGCATTGTCCTACGTTCTTGAACAAGCACATTCTTCTGCTCAGCCACCACTACAGGCTTTGGCTCGGGTTCCGGCTCGGGCTTTAGTTGGGGTGACGGCAATAACAGAGGAGACGGGGGAGGTGCCGAAGGTTTGGGTTTGGGGGACTGCGGTGGGGTTTGTTCGGAAGGCTTGATGATCTTAGGAGATTTATTGGATGGGGAAGGGTGCATTTGAGTAACGGCTTCGGGTTTCGGGGACGTCGGCAGAGAGGAAGACGATGTTTTGGTTATCGCTGGAGGAGGAGGAGGTTGCCGCGAAGCAGAGGATGTATCGATCACTGGAGAGGTTGGCAGCGAAGAAGTGGCCGATGTTGACGTTTTGGGTTTAGGAGATGGAGACAACGAAGAAGACCGCGGTGAGGCTGTGGCCTTTGGAGATGATGTCGCTACGGCTACCCGCTGTGTTGGAGGAGCGAGAGCGACAGTAGGTGGAGCGGGTTCCCGTGGTTGAGGCTGGGGCTCAGGTTGTGGCTGGG